TCCGCTGAGGGCAGGTGGGAGCTCGGGCCCTGGTGCTGCGTGGGTACCGGGGGCACCAGGCTCCTCAGACAGGAAGTCCCGCCCCCGGGCACCCCAGGCCGCCTCTCTATTTGGGGGACAGAGCCAGAGCGGTGTCTGGGATGAGAGAGCTGGGACCTGAGCCCTGACGGGACCAGGGGCTCCTGCTCACCACGTGACGTTCTGTCCCTGATGGACATGAGCACAAGGGGCACAGAAATGACAGTGATGACGAGGATGATGCTGATGAGGATGATGACGGGGCCCCAGGGGGAGCATCTCACGTCTGTGCTGCTGGTCCCCGGAGTCGCTTCCCAGGCGAATGGGCCACTGCACCTGGGGGAGGAGGGGCCTGTGGGCAGTGGGCAGGGCCACCTCGGTGCCTGGCGCTCACCCCAACCCCGAGCGTCCCCTGCGCAGCCTGTCGCACAGAGGGGAAGGCTGCTGCCTGGGGTGGGCCCGGGGAGGGGGAGCTCTGGGGGGAACTCAGGTCCGTTTGACTCTCCCTGTCCCGCAGCCACGGGGACACGGAGGGAGGGGAGGAAGGGGCAGGACAACCTGGGACAGGGACACTGGACACAGGAGAGGGACAGCGAAGGAGATGCCAGGGGTGAGGACAGAGCTGGTGTCAGGAATGGACTGTGAAAGCCAGTGCCCCAGATGGAGGGACAGACCCGAGGGGGGCGGGGGGCTGGAGGGGAGGGGAGGATGGAGACAGAGTGACAAATGGGGGTGGGAATGGTGTAGGGGGGACACACAGGACCCTGGGCCTCCGTGTGGCAGTCACGCCAGAGACTAAGCAGCCAGGTCATAGCTGGAAGGGAGGGGCGTGGGCACTGGGGTTCCTGTTTCCGGGGGAGTGGACTCCTCACTCTGGGAGCCTCTTATGTGCACCCCTGACTCGGAATGGCAGGACCCCTCAGCCCTGACACCTGGGGACACCCCGGAACACAGGGTGGGTCTCTGGCCGCAGCGCCCTGAGCCCCGCATCTGGGATGTGCTGACCGGGCCCTGGGCTGAGGTGACAGCAGTGTGGGAGCCACAGGGTCAGCAGGGCGGCTGGGGGGTCACCATCTCCCCGCTGTGGGGCCCTTATCTCCCAGGGAGCCCTGGCAGCGCCTCCTGGGACCCGGGTCACCTACTTTGTCCAGGGCGTGCAGGCTGCCTGGGTGCCCCCCGCAGAGAAGGTGCCCGGCTGGCAGTCTTCACACAGCGTGTCCTGCCACTCGGTGCCTGAGAAACGACAGTGTCGGGCAGAGGGTTCCTTGGGGACCCCCTCAGGCCGGGGGCCGGGGCCTGTGTCCTCAGGGGGAGCCGCACTCACCTGTCTCCCGGACCCTCTGGCCCGGGCGGCAGACACTGTGGGGCCTGCACTGGACACAGGAGTCCCCGTCCTGTCGCTCACAGAAGCGGCCGCGCCCGCAGCCGCACACGGTGTTGGTCCAGCTGAAGCACTTCCGTCTGGTCACCTGGCCCAGGCCTGGGACCCAGAGAAGGAGCTCAGAGCAGCAGCAAGGCCTGCCAGGGCTGGGGGAGCGCCCCGTCCCGGGAGGAAACCACGCTGAGGGCTGGGCAGCACCTACAGGCCTGGGGAGGGCACGGGGACAGGGGTGCAGCCCCCTAACTCCCCCCGGACCCTGCCAGCCACAGCCCAGGCTCAGCCGGAACATAGGCCCGGAGCTGCCGGACGCAGAGGCCAGTCCAAAGCGGGGTCCGAGGGTCGTGGAGGCAGCAGCAGGGACTGGGGCAGGGTCTTCTCCACAGAAGGCCAGGCCTCTTGGGGTGGCTGAGACCTCCCAGCCTGAACCCCAACAGGGAGTGGGGACCAGTCAGCAAAAGGACAGGCCCAGAGGCGACTCCCAGGCCAGGGCGCCCCTCAAACAGGTTTCGCTCCTCAAACCAGGAAGGTCAGTGGGCAGCCACAGGGCAGGGGCCCTCAGCTGGCAGTGGAGGGGCAACCGGGGAGCCATCCCCCAGCCCAGCCCTGGGCAGGGAGGAGACCCAGGGGCCAGTGCTCAGCCAGAGGAGGACCCTGGGGAGGGTGTGGGGTCCTGGGAGCCGGCACTGCAGGTGGAGGAGGCCTGGCCCCGGGGGCCCACGGGCTGTGCCACAGGCAGGGGTGCCTGCAGGGCATCGGGTGGCTGAGCCTGGAAGCGCAGGTGACAGGTGATGGGGCTGAGGCGCTGGCCCTCTCTAGGGAGAGGCAGGTGTGGCCATGGGATGAGGCTCCTTGAAGGGTCCTGGGCAGGGAGCCCCCTGGGTGACGGGAGGCCTGGCCCTGGGCAGCGTGAGGGCCTGCAGTCAGTGTGGCCGGGATGGGGGGGCTGGGGGCTCGGCACAGCCAGGGTTGGGCTCCTGGTCTCACCTGGGTCACAGACGCGGCAGGGCAGACACTCGCGCAGGGCATTGAGGTGGGCAGTGTAGGTGCCCCGGGTGCAGGGCACACACACTATGCTCCAGAGCTCCCCGCAGGACTCCTGCACCCGGTAGCCTGCAGCCAAGCAGGCACACACTCAGGGCGGGAAGGCCCCGGAGCCCCGGCAGGTGTGACACTCCCAAGGGGTCACCCCACATGAGCTGTTCCCCGGGCCAGTGAGCCTGCTTGGCAGGAAGTGAGAACTTTCTGGAAGTTGAGGGCCTCCTGGGACACAGAGGCCTGGCTCTGAGACCCCCTCTCCTGGCCTGAAATGGGATGCCCACCCCCAGCCCCGCCCTGAGCAGTGAGCTGAGGGTCTGGGGGGCGGGGGCGAGCTGGGGGTGCCCTCTGTGCCCAGGGCCTGCAGGCCTCCCATGAAGGGGTGCTGGGAGCAGAGGGGCTCCAGGCTAGGGGAGGGCGAATGCCTGCCCCCAGCACAGCCCTGCCCCCGGCGCCCCCAGGGGCCCTGCAGAGCTGCACTCACCTGGCCAGCACTTGGGGCAGCACAAGGCCCCCTTCTGGAACTCCCCCTCTTTGCACAAGGGCTGCCCCAGTGCGCAGGGCAGGGCTGTCAGAAGGAGGAGGCTCAGGGCCTAAGGGAGATGGAGGGGGCTTTGGAGCAGAGCAGCTGCCTGGGCCTCAGTCTCACCCTCCGGGAAATGGGCCATGCCCTGCAGGGGGGCCCAGGACAGGATTGTCTACTGAGGATCCTAAGAGCCTGGGTTTGGGACCACCCTGTGTGTGACCTCTGACCCCCTGGGCTCAGGAGAGTGAGGCCCTGCCCCTGGGAAGGCCAGGGCTGCTCTGACCCAACAAACTCAGCCTCGCTGTTCCCTTGCTGCACCCCGAGTCCTGGGAACCACAGGGTCAGGGCAGCAACAGCTCTGGCGGTGGGCGGGGGGGAATCTCTGGCCTGACAGTGTCACAGGCAAAGGGCTGGTGAGGGGGAGGGGGTAGAAGTGGACGGGGAGGGGAAGGCCTGTCAGTCAGAGCTGCACTGGAGTCGTAACCACGGGCTTAGGAGCTGAGGGCTCTGGAGCTGATGGAAACGCACAGGAAGCCTCCCTCCCAGGCACAGACACCCAGTTCCTCTTCCAGACAGGGCTGGGCGGTGGGGGAGGATTCGCCCTGAATGGGGGTCGGGGGGACACTGGTCCACAGAGGAGAGTCCTTGGAGGGGGTGGTCTCCTGCCTGGGCCCAGTCCCAGCGGCCAGGGCTGTGGGCAGGGCCGGCTCCCCCACCGGTGCTGGGCTGCTGGGCGACATCGTCCCTGACTCACCAGCCTCAGGACG